TCAGGAATTCTATAACCACAAGGATATGGGATATTGTTATAACAATCAGGATACAACTTTTGGTAAACCTTAGCAAGATTCCTTACTTCAGTCCCAAATTTATCCCTAATAATGATACTACTCAACTCCTCCATATTCTCAGGCCTATGCTGATTTGGTGATGGGTTTGGTGGCCTAAGAGGTTATTGTTGCAGCACAATATGATTATATTGGCCATATCTAGAATCGGGAAGATATCCTCTAGTAGGATCAACATTAGGGATATGTGGAGTAGCATGACTAACAGTATTAATAGGTGATGAATAATAATTAAAATCAGTACTGCTAGTTGTGGTATGAAAACCTGGAAAAATTTCCAGGGAACCGGTCTGACCGGCTATAGATGGCCCGGTCTGACCGGCCCATGGCCCGGTCTGACCGGTGGTCAGTGGTGCGGTCAGACCGGCCACATGTGGTCCGATCTGGCCAGAATAGGGCATGGTCTGACCGGCTATGATGGGCACGGCTGACCGGTATAATACATGGTCTGACCGGCCATAGTAGGCACGGTCTGACCGGCATAGGGTGCGGTTAGACCGGTGTCACGACCAGTCATACCGTTAGCTAGGTTTTGCATATAGCCGATTCCTATGTAATCGGCCGTATAAACACCCATTGTCCCCCCATAGCATGCATATTGTATAGAAGCAAAACAAGAAATAGCATATCCATCTACACAACGATTATTATCCTTTTGAATAGCAAAGGACAGGTTGGGCGAATCGGAGGTTACCTTTGGTGAAACTACAACTTGAGGTAGCGGGATGTTTCCTTTCACGATGCCTTGCTCGGTCTAATGTATTGTGTAGTAATATTGTTGAACACGTTCTGGCTCGTTATACTTGATGAAGAAATTCTTTGATTAATTTCGGTCATATAGCTCATAGCCGAAATATTTGACCGAATAGATTAATACACGGTCTTAATTTCCGTCGGTATGCTACTTGTGTATCTAGCAAAAATTTACAAAAACTGAAACTTCACAGTGATAACCGATACAAATTGAATCGGCCTGATTTTTTTTTCTTGTAACACGTATGCACAGTAGTTTAAATCGGCTTTTCTTCAAAGCCTTACTTTTCTTTCACTCGGCAGTCGTGTGCGCTAGTGATGCTGCTTCCTGCCGATTAGATCGGTCCCTAATCCGGTAAGACTGGCTCAGCTAAGTCGGTTAGACCGGCACAGTAAGCGATCAGACCGGCGGTAAGAGAACAATGTAGCCGATTGAACCAATCAACTGAGTGATCAATGTATTTGCTCGGTGACGGTAAATTGATAGATTGATTTCGGTCGTTTGGCTGAAACTCTCGATCTGATGAAACGATAGATGATTAAATTAAACGAAATTCGGCCGTGGTATGGCTGATTAGTTCGTTCCCCAGCGGAGTCGCCAAAAATCGTGTTGATAACTTTTTGTGACAAGTCAACAAGCACGATCGCAGTACCTAAACGCCTTGCGGTGATATGGAGTCGCCAACCACCTCGACCTAGCCAAAAAGCCAAATCAAGATGGGTTTTATAGAAAAAATGCTAAACTGGCAAACAGAACCGATTTAGAGATCAAAATCAGCCTCTAGGCCGATTTAGATCGATATGAGGATAACTACCCGTCTCGTGGGCAAAACGGAAGGTTTTCAAGATAAAACCTACAAAGAGATGTCGCACTCTCGCAGCGGCGGCGGACGATTTACGGCGCAAATCAACAAAGATGGACTAAAACTAGGGTAGAGTAGAAAACATAGCTGAAAAGTAAAGATAAAAGAAAAAAACGATTTGATTGATTGTATGTTCAGGGTATTACAATTGAACCAGCCTTGTCCCTTAAATAGAGGTTGTTCTTGCCCTCTACAGGCCCTCCTCGACGTCCAACTCGGGCTAGAAACTAACGGAAACACGAAACATGCCTTCCCGAGCAGGGAAACCCGAGACCCAACGAAAAGAGACTCAGGTCAGACTCTGACGGTCTGACCGGCCACATACCTGCGGTCAGACCGGCCCTACTAGCCAGTTAGACTGCCCACATACATGTGGTCTGACCGGCCCTGTGAAGGAAACCCGACACTTTCCAAACTTTGGCAATTTTCCCTTATTTCGTCCGTAGGTGCCAAATTTGGGTGTAAACACTTACCACAAGCGGGAGTGGGTAATTGCTTGACTTGTAGTATAGCTGGACCCTTTCCTAGACACTGCTGGCAAGGGTGGGCGTGATGGAGTTGAGTCGGCCAGGGTGTCCAGTTGTCCAGCTGCCGGATTCACCACGGCGCACGAGGAGGGGCTGCCCACTGCCTGTTGAGGGGTAGGGGCAAAACCTTAGCGTGGTGTGGATGGTTAGGGGCGGGTTATGCGAAGGGTCTTATCACGATTTCCCCCTTTGTAGTGCCATGGTGGTGCTTCAGGGCATGGCGACATGTGTGGAATCGTGCCTTGTGGGTACAATTGTACACCTCTGGCCAGAGTAAAACTATTCGAATAGCCGTGCCCGCGGTTATGGGCGATCAACCAGATTCACTGTGATTAGTCTCACCCCTAGTTTAGCTTGATGGAACGGGTTAGTTCAGGTGGTGGTTCGGGCCTGTCTCAACGTGGTGTAGCGTTGAGCAGCAATTGGTTAATATTGATTAATTACTACAACTGTTTTATTGCTTTCATCTACTGTTTTTAAATGCTTGTTTTATGCAAATGAACCCTTAGCCTCCTTTGGTTATATTCTGCATCATACCTCCTCTTCCTGTATGACTTGCTGAGTACAGTGGGTAGTACTCAGTCTTGCTCTCTCTTCCCCACACCAGAGCTAAAGTTCTTTCCAGTTGGAGCTGTCTCAGAGAGGATGTTTTTTCGCTGCGGTCAAGGATTGCTTGTGGAGTGGAGTCACCCCACTGCAGAAGTCAAGCTTTCAAGTCTAGCTCGTTTTATCTTTTCCGCTGCATTTGTAATCTTTTATATTTTTGTAAGACGTGGATCTGCATGTCAACAATTGTCGTTTGTGTACCCTAGCTGATCCTGGACAGGGGTTTAATGCACATTCAGCTTAGGAATTCTGGTTCGTGAATTTCTGGGCGTATCATTTATCCACTCGATCTCCTCTTTCTGTTTTTCTGAAAATCAACGTGTAAACTCTGGATAAAAACGACACTAGAACATCGCAGTCATCATCTTCAACTGTTAAACGGAGATTAAATATAGTGAATTAAAGCCAAATCGAAAGTGAAAATCATGGAGAAAATGATGAGGGAGGAGTGGGGAATCAATTTTGACAATCAATTGGAGGAGGAAACACACGATCGATATGGTGGCGGCGTGGCACTAGGTTCAACCCGGGAAGCGTGCGGTGAACAGATCGGATTAAAAAACCATCGAAAAAAACCGGACAAAAAAACCAAAAGGCATAGCGCGTGCGCACAAAAAAACTCTTTCGCGTGCAAAAAAATATCAGGAAAAAATACCAGTGCCCAAAAAAAAGCCAAACGGACCAAAAATATACAGGAAGCTTTACGCACTTTTTTATTAGATACTAGAAAAAATGCCCATGCATTGCAATGGGTAAAAATATTTTTTATCGTTGTACAGTTTTTAATCCTAGCCCAGCCCTTGCCTCCCTCTACTTGGCATGTATCTCTTTAACCCAGCCCACAAGTGGAGATGTAGGACTAGCTCACATAGTTAATTACCGTCTTCAACCTCCGAAAGATGGCTCTACCCGTTCAGTGCCAGAATGGATCCTTCCCATCAAATTTAGTCGAATCTTTCTCGATCTTCAAAATTAGTTGAGGGTTTTTGATACACTCGATCTCCTTTTTCCTTTTTATCAAAATTAGAGCGAATCCGCAAAACTCAAGATAAAAACCGTGAATTAAATCTGAGTTGAAAGGGAAAATCATGAGGGAAAACGATAAGAGAATACTGGGGAATCGATTTTTATAATTAATTGGAGGAGGAAACACATGGGGATGTAAAAAAAAGGTGGGAAAACCCGAAAGGTAAAAGAAAAGGAAGGAGAAAAAAAACGAAAAACATCGAAAAAACCCAAGCCCAAAAAAGAAGCGGACGGAGAAAAGGAAAAACAAAGAAAAAAAAAGGCCGATGAAAAAAAAGAAAAAACGGTGAAAAAAGAAAAAACGGATGAAAGGAAAACCAGAAACCTTACTTTTTTTTATTAGGTATATATAGATATAGATATATAATTGAGCAAAGTTCACGTGCACCTAGAATCTCAACCATATAGATGTGTGCCAAGATATTTGCTAACCAAATGTACCTTGCCTCCATGGAATGAACGATTATTATAGAGGAACAACAACGACGAGGTACGTACAATGCACCTGTAGCACTGACAAGGGACATGTATTTATTTTGATTGATCTCCTACCTGATATCTCCTCCTCTCCTACCTGCTCGTCATGAGATAGACACACGCAGTAAGAGTCAACATCATAATTTAAAATTTTATTCGTATATTTGGGTAAGTGAACATTTCGAGTTAGTTAATCCAATCGATTTTACACGTCAAGTGCTATTAGTGTTAAGTGGGGTGAATTATATTATTTTGTTAGTTACAAGATCAAAAAGATTTTTTACAAGTGATGCCAAGTGATATATCATTTTCTGGATATTACTTTGCAATACATACATATAACATATGCATGTGTGTGTACACACAGATATATATGCATGTGTGTGTACACACAGATATATACACATATACATATACATATGTCTGCATAGGATATATTCCTATGTATGTATGTATGTGGATACATCACATATGTGTCAAGCTCTTAGACAGTGATGTGTGTGTCGAGTGCTAGAGACTGGGCACTTGTTATTTGTCCATATATATGTACTATCACGCTCATTTCTCCATGGTATCTTGTCAGTATGTATTTTGGCATTTACGGTATGATAATGATCGGGAGAGCAAAGGAAGATGAGATGAAATCGGGTATAAATTGGAGGAATTTAGCACTATCGCTTCTCGCCTAGAACTTGCATCCCTGAACTGTTCTACAATATAGATCTCATGGATGAGATGGCTGCACGAACATGGTTGTGGTTGCTACTGTCCCCTCTCATCCTCCTACTGCTGCACTATGCTCTGGCCCTGCTAACTGCACGCCGAGCGAGGAAGAACCCCTTGCCACCTTCACCTCCAGCCTTGCCATTCATCGGGCACCTCCACCTCATCGGCGCCCTCCCTCACGTCTCCCTCTGCTGCCTCGCCACGAAGCATGCGCCCGACCTCATGTTCCTCCGACTTGGCACGTCGTTGCCGGTGCTCGTCGCTTCCTCGCCCTGTGCCGCCGAGGCCATCCTGCGCACGCATGACGACGTGTTCGCGTCGCGGCCACGCACCGTTCTAGCGGATATCATCTTCTACGGCTCGCGCGACATTGGCTTCGCACCGTATGGCGAGGATTGGCGGCAGGCAAGGAAGCTTGTGAACACGCACCTGCTGAGTGTCAACAAGGTGCAGTCGCTATGGCTTGCCCGTGAGGAGGAGGTAACAAGTGTTACTTCATGCCTTCATATTAATAACTGTCCAAGTTGTAAAGATTGGGACCTTGTTTCTCCGAACCAACATATTTTGTAACTTGTTTTCATATTTCAAGGATGATCGATTACATCATTTAATGAAATAATAAGATATAGATCCTCCGTTTCAGGTTATAAGTTCGTTCTGGCCAAGTTTGTACGAGTAGAAAAAAAATAGTAACATTTTCAACCGAAGATAAATTTATTATGAAAATATATTCAATTATTGATTTGATGAAACTAATTTAGTATATATGTGTTTATAAATTTAGTCAAACTTGAAACAATTGGACGTTGACCAAAGTCAAAACGACTTAGTAAGACAACTATCTTTGCTCCCAAAGTCTATTGATTGGAGAAAAGAAAAAAATGTTTTTGATGCTGGTGCTTCAAAATTATGACAGTGTAATTTGATCACCCTGACTACACGAATCTCAAAATCCTGATGCGTTTATCTAGTATTGGTCTGATCTTCAAATATTTCATTACCTTTCCTTTGGTACTCTCGAGGACTTCTAACTATTTTCATGCTAGATTTTCTACTATATATATTAATAGATTTTCTACTATTACTTTCATAATATGTTATTTTATTATTTCTTTGGTTTAACTATTACCTGAAAAGATCGTGATAAGTTGTAAATTCCAGAGTCAAATAGTGGATGGAATTATCTTCCTGGGCATTCAAGTACCACAAAATTTAACCCACTTTTCTTAATACCACTACCACGATTTTCATGCCGACTATGTTTATTTAGACAAAATGGCACATCCAGTTGAGCTACTTCGTACTTCACCAGTGGAACTTTTATGCTTGCCATCTTCACACCTCCTTCCTACTCCTAATCCTGAAATATTGTAATAGAAGAAGGTGAAACCCATCTCATAAGAACAAATTGAGAGTACAAGAAACCATCTCCATACTTGTAGCCTCCAAGTTCTACTTGCGCATGATAAGATCAATCTGGGATGACAATAACAGACCTTAGGAAATGGGAGGGTATTGCATTTGAAGTTAGGGTATTTTGGATACTTCATTATCTGTATTGGGTTGAGAATTCAACAAACTCTAAAAAGAGTGACGGTAGTGATATTCTTGAAAGAAGAAAATGACGTGTGTTTTGACTTTACATGAATGGGAAAGTTCGTGTGGTATTTTTCTGAATTTGACGTGCCACCTATGCTATGAACCGAATTTTCCTTCTTCTTTACTACGGCACCCAATTATTACCATTTGGAATCATTAAATTGGTCATGAAAACCTTTTTTTTTTGTCAAGCTGACTTATGGAACAAGAATAGTTAAGTTATTCTGTAAGTTGATGTTCTGAACTTAATTTTGTGTTGGTTATGCAATACTTGCACCAACGTATATACAATTTAAAACCATAAAATGTGATAGGTGAAAATTGTGATGGAGAAGATAAGCAAAGCGGCATTCGCACGTGAAGCAGTGGATATAGGCCAGATTCTTTGCTCATTCACAAACGATCTCGCATGCCGTGTTGTGTCAAGGAAGTTAGTCGGGGATGACAGGCAGAAAAAGCTCCTCCAAGAGTTGGTTAATAAGACAATAAAGCTGCTTTCTATCTTCAACGTGGAGGAGTACTTTTCAATTTTAGCTCGGATTGGCGTGATTGGGAAGGTGATGTGCGCAAGAGCTGAGAGGTTGAAAAAGAAGTGGGACATGCTGCTGAAAAAGCTGATCGCCGACCATGAGAGCAAGTGCGATTCATACTTAGTATGTGGCCGTAACAAAGATGACTTTGTGGACATTTTACTGTCTGTTAGGAAGGAGTATGGTCTCACCGAAGAACATGTCAAAGCTATTCTTGAGGTAATTAATTACTCCGAGTGTACTCTAAAAATTATTTATTATGCATAGTATAGCATGAATAAACCATTCTTGGCTATGCACAATTGCACAAGACATTTATGAGTTGTTCCAATCATCATATTAGACAGCTCCATTTGCAATTGTCGGGATATTCAATAGTCATATTTTAATTAGAAAAATGGGCATGCCTTATTTTGCAATTTGCATAAGCCAAGCATCAATTTCAGAAAGTATTTCAGGAAATACAATCAAAGACTGTTTTGTAGATCCATTTTTACTTACAGACTCAAACTGATTTACCCAAATCTAGTCGAACAATCTATTCACACAAAATGTTAAAACCTGCATATTACAAAGTAAAATGTGTCAATGTTCACTCTCTGCATTGAAACCTATAATCTAATTGTGCATAAAAGTGTCAATTGGATAAATATATTGTAATTTAACAGGGTCATCTTAAGTTTGATCTTCACCAAATTATAAACCAACAGGACGTCTTTATTGCGGGAACACAGTCGTCTGCTCGGGTGATCGAATTCACCTTTGCTGAGCTCATGCGGAAGCCACACATGCTCAAGAAGGTGCAGGATGAGGTGAGGGCTTGCATTCCCAATGGACAAGCAATTGTTAGTGAAGTTCAAGTTAACAACATGACTTACCTGAGAGCAGTTGTGAAGGAGGTACTAAGGCTGCACCCTGTGGCACCACTCCTTGCGACACACGTCTCCATGGCTGACTGCAACATCAATGGGTATATGATCCCTTCAGGGATGCGTGTCTTGGTCAACGCCTGGGCCATTGGTAGGGACGAACGCTTCTGGTATGATCCAGAGAAGTTCATGCCAGAAAGGTTTGTTGAAAGTGTGAATGGTTCTGCCACTGCGTCAGTCAACTTTTGGGTGAATAACTATCAATACTTGCCATTTGGTTCTGGAAGGAGAATGTGCCTCGGGATGAACTTTGCCATGGCAGTTATCGAGATCACACTAGCGAACCTTCTCTGGAAATTTGATTGGGCGCTGCCTGCACATGCAATGGAGGTTGATATGTCAGAAGAGTTTGGGTTGTCGGTGCGTCTGAAAGAAAAGCTATTGTTGGTTCCAAAGCAACATGTGTAGCTGCTAGCAAGTACTCGAAGGAATTGAATTGTCCAACTTTAATGTGAGAAAGTCTACCATGACCTATGGGGGTCTACACTAATGTTAACCTCTGGACAAAGTCATTATACACCGTTTCTCTATGCTTCAACCCTTGGAGGATCCAATTCTTATCACAAAATATGTGTGTAACAAGTAATAATTTTTGCATGGTTGTCGATGCTTAATCTGTTTGTTTGTTTACTTTGTGTATGCAGTGGTGTATGATCAGTTTGGTTAACTGCCTAGCCATTTGTAATAATTAATGTTTCAGCTAATACCTTCATATATTTTAGAATATTGATTGGTGACATAATAAACTTGATATACTAGTCACCAACCTGAGTGTTGCACGGGCTATTGTCGTCAGTAGTTTACTTATACGAAGATTTAAGTTCTAATAATACATATCGTTGAACAACTTGGTCAAATAGTTTTTCTTATAATCTTTTTAATGGATGGTATGATTAATGAAAAAATAATTGATCAAAATTAATATTGAAATATTATATCACTTATCACTGTTCTAAATATGTAACATCCTCAAAAAACAAATATTGCATCATGCTGTTATTTTGTTCCTATTGAGTAAGTACTTTAATTAAGAAAAGTACAAAGTTAAATTTTAGAAATTCCTTGATTTTTAATTAAAAAACTTTTGGTAGTAACTTTGGATATTACTTGAGTTGAATTTTTGGATTTTGAACCTTTTTCATATTTCCATCAAATTATAGAAAATTCTGTATTAATCTAATCCCAATTTTCAAACGATCGATGACCTTTCTTCAATTTAAATCATATTCAAATTTATCCCATCTCAAATATGGTCCAAGAATCCCACATTCTATCTCTAGCATTAACCCCAAATCCTTTATATTCCATGTCCTCATAATTATTCTATAAACGCTTCTCTATTTTGTAGCGATCGAATCCCTTTACTATAGCACAAGAAACCTTTTGTAATATTCTTTAGATTGCTTTCGTGCATAGAAAATGTTTTGAACTTTAAATCCTTCCCATCTATCAAATATTCTGTACGCTCCAATGCTAGGGCTCAATTTTAATTCTTCCTAAATTTCACTCAAATTTCAGATTTCCATCTCCAAATTGAAATTTCATTTAAAATTCGTATAATCTTACTTTACTTCATGAAATGTCCATAAAATTCTTGTAACATCTAAGCCTACTCCTACATTGAGATATCTACATGCAATTGCTATTTTTTACGAGCATAGAATAATCTACAAGTGTACATATACAATTGTAGCTTCGGGCACCGGCTTAGCCCTAGTTTGCCAATGAGACTCCGCCCTATAACAGTGTGATGCACCCAAACGTAGAGGATTACAAATAACTAATAGAGCTGTCACCACCTGCCGCGCCTACCTTTTTTTTAGAACACTCCAGCTAGCTCCACTGCAATTTTCAGTGGAGTTAAAATTATTTGGTTAGACTCTCTAACTTCAGAAGTGATGGAGCTAGAGTTGTATCAAACATACCCTTAATCTATACCTTAATCTATAGTTTGTTTTGCTAGTTATTTATTCATGACTTTTATTTTTTATCCTACAAATTTTTTTTGAGACCCGTTATCCTACACATATACATGAGCCAGAACGTTAGCTTTTTTTTAAAAAAAAACTTAAGATAAACCCAGGAGATAGTGGGCTTGCTGTGCGTGATAACGTAAGTGGGGAGGCCGTTTAGGCCCAGGGCCTAAGCGGAAGCGTACATGCACGGTGCCGGATAGATCGAGGAAAGGGAGGAGCGCAGGTGAGTCGGATAAGTGCGTGCAACGATGTGTGTTGTTTCCTTTTTTTCTTTACACGTGTCACCTAATAATTGTGCCATTTAGTCCAATCAACTGATGGTATTACCGCCAGCTTGAGATACGTAGATATCGCACTAAAAACTACAAAGTACATAGTAGACTTTATGTATATAAATTTATACATTGATAACTTTTGACTTATAATTTTGTGTATAGAAATATTTTGTATAAAATATATTTAAATTCAAATCAAAATTTAAATCAGGTATATAAAATTTTAGCGTACAGACTTTTGGTGTTAATAAATTTTAATAGTACAAACTCTGTGTATAAATGCTAGCTAGTAGTACTAACTTTAGATGTGTAAACTTACTTTAAAAAAGAAAAACACATGATGATAAAGAAAAAGCTGTGCCTAAAACGGAAGAGGGAAATGGTGCCTAAATTGAATTCAATACTGAAAATGGAAGCGGTGCCTAAAGAGGGCCCAGGAAATATTGAATTTAATCTCCTCCCTCTCCTCTATTCTTCTGTTTTTATTATATTAATAGATCAATTTTCCCCGATGCAAATAATATTTTCTTCGGCTTAATGCCTTACCTGTGACAAGTTGCATCTAATGATTTCCTGGTGCATCCTAATCATTTCATCAGAATTCGTTGCTATTCAAAAAGCTAATGCTCTATTTGCTTTCAAGCTAACAATTAATAAAAGACAAGTGTTGTGGAAAATGTAAGCTTCCAAACTTTTCAACATCAACTAGACATCGATCGGAGATACGATAGAATTCCTAAAATCAAAAGCCTTTTGCTAATCACATGCGTGCAACTCTATCGGTCTTCTTCATCCTCTGTGCACTGCATAGGCCCCCTCTCCGTGCTCAGTGTGTATGCATGGCTATGTAGTAAAGCTATATTCGTTAACTTTAAATAATATCTTAATTATGGGATTTATAATCTGACTTTACCATTGTATTTAATTTAATTTAATCTTTATAACAAGATCTCACATAAGTATATTCCGAATAAAAATATTTTTTTCTAACTGAAACATTTTTACATTATATATAAATCATCGATGTGTAATTTTTGAAACATAATAACATACATTCTGAAACATTCTAACAACACCACGTGCAACATTTGCAAACAATGTAACGAACCATCAAAATACACTTATGGAAACATTCAAACAACACATGTGCAATATTAAAAGGTCCATTGCGACAAAAAAAAAACTAAACATGTGCAACTTAGTTAAACTCTTGTTGAAATGATCCCTTCTCACATGTGAAACATTGAGTTTCAATGGCCGAGACATACATATTTTCTTCATCGAAAAATAATGAAGCGAGATCTTGTTGTAAATATTTAATTGTAGATTGGATAAATAGTTTAATACTCATCCGTCCTAGAATATAGTAACCTAGGACCGGATGGAACGTATCCTAGTACCACGAATCTGGACAGCAGTACTAGGATACGTCTCATCCGGTCCTAGGTTACTATATTCTGTGACGGAGGGAGTAGATAATATATCTTAAAGATTGTCCCTTAATTTGCACATGCATATTCTTGCATGTAAGTTGCATTACATGCATTCTGCTCACAGACAATGTAAATGGGGGAGAGAGACATTAGCATGTTTGTAGGAAGAAGAGAATCGTCATCTTAGAGCATACCCCAGAGATTGTGTATAATATCTCACCAAAAATTTGTCTTTCCTAAACTGAAAGTAGGAAAGTGAAAAAATTCATATCTGATGAGGACACAACTAGATTGGATATAACCATGACTACCTTATGTATTAATCAACCAAAGGTGTATATGTTTTACATTAGATTTAATTGTTATATATTTGAACAAACGTTGCTACACAATGAGTTTTGTATGTTTTCGTTTGTAGATGTACTTGCTTGGGCGAAAAAAAGAGACAGAGTGTAAGGAATGCATGGATGATTGAAGAAGTTGATAGGGGACCAAACCAAGACTTCTTTCATATCACCACGTCACTTTTGGTCCATAGAAGACAAGAGATCAAGTTTTACACGTTTTGGATTCGGATTCGGGCCTCCTGACAGCATCAACTTCAAACGGACCTAGTCGTTGATCTAGAAGGAATTTCAGGGCCCATGAGTACTTGTTGGAAAGCATATGGAGTCTACTTTTAGATGGTTTTGGTCCCGCATAAAAACTCCTACCGAGCTGCCAAGAATCTGCAAAACAAGCCACGTGTCTCATCTAGTCCGAATCCTATTTGGGTGTTGGCCTTGTAATTGTGTCGTGGGCTTAGCTGTCACGCCCTGAAGATCCCCTCGCTTAATTTTGACAAAATAAATCATCCGAAGAAATTGTTTGATTTAACCTAGAGTTGGATCCTAATTAATAAATGCAAAGAATAATCGGAAATGGCATGTGGAATTTTTCTTGGGTTCTTCATGTCAAAATATGCTAACAGGATTTTTAGTGGAATTTTCAGAGCCTTGGAAGTAATTTTAACTAATTAAAAGCTACAAAGTGCAATATTTAATCCCTAGAAATTCCCTTTTTTTCCTTTTCCTTTCTTTTCCCCCTTTTTTCCCCCTCTTGGGCTGCTGGCCCATTTCTTCCCGCGCCAGCCCGCTCCTCCCTCCCCCTCCCCGAAGTCCATCTGGCCTCCCCCTCTCCTCCCAGGCGCCGACAGGTGCGGCCCACCTGTCGGGTTCGCCCCTAACCTCTAGCCGGAGGGGCGGCCTCCCCCCTCACCCGCCGCCGAAGCCGCCGCGCCCACTCTGCGCCGCTTCCACACCCACGTTGCCCACTCCCTTGCATGCCCGGCCTTCCCCGCGCCCACGAGACGGCCGGGATTCGAATTGAATCCCGCCTCGCTCTCCTCCTCCACATCCCCACTAACTCCGGCCAAATCGAGCCACTCCCGGCCGTTCCCGACCTCCCCGTGTCACACCCTGAAGTTCTTTTCCCAAGCCTAAATTGAATTTATTAATGACCCCAAGAAAATACTGGTGTAAAAGCAAGAGCGAAACCCTAATAAATTAATGCAAATAATAATCGGAATTGGCATGTGAAAATTTTCTTGAGTTCTACATGTCGAAATGTGCTAACAAGATTTTTAGTGGAATTTTCAGAGCTCCAGAAATAACTTTAACCATTTAAAAAGGAGCACAAGCAGTATTTAATTCCCTGGAAATTATTTTCCCTTTTTCTTTTTCCCTTTTTCCCCTCCTTTTTTCCTAATAGGCCGCCAGCCCATTTCCTCCTCCCTCCCGCGCCTTGCTGGGCCGGCCGAAGGCCACGGCCCAGCTAAGCCCGCACCCCTCCTCTCTCTCTCGAGGCGCCGATAGGTGGGGCCCACCTGTCGGGCCCGTCCCCAACCTCCAGCCAGAGGAGGAGGCCGGCCTCCCCAACCGCCGCTCCCGCCTCTCCCTCGCCTTCCAGGCCACGCCGCCCACGTCGCCGCCTTCCCCGCGATCCCCGCGCCCACTCCCTCTCTTTCCCGCCCGCGCTCGCGCTCGAGACGGCCGGGATTTGAATTTCGAATCCCGCCTCTCTCTCCTCCCCACTTCTCC